ATAACAAAATTCAGACCCAATGTGGCAGGAATCCTTCACACCCACCTTGGTGTGCCCCAAGCTGCTGCCCTTCTGTCTGACTGAACGGCTCACTTAGCAGGCTCAGGTGGGCTGGGCTCTCAGCCTGGAGACTTCTATTCCTGCTGGAACTACACCACTTTAGCATCTTCTCTGCTGTCACCAGCACAGCAGTCATTTGGAAAACTACCAAAAATCTCTAAAAATTCTTCTGTAGTTTGCAGCATCTTTTCATATAGTTTTTCATCAGAATGCTATTAAATACAAATTTTGTACCAGCTGCTCTGCTGATGCTTCAGGGTTAAAAGGCAATAATTAAGATGGATGCCTCCACTTCAGGAGGCAAACACAACCCTGAAATGTGGATTAAAGGCTTTGAGAGAAAAGTATACATTGCTGTAAGTTAGAATGATTTGCTAAGAAGGGCCCTAGTTTAGGTGAGGCACCTAATTCCTGTGGGGAAAGGTGGCAAGAGAGTACTTTTAAAGAAATAACATTTCAGATAGCCACTGAAACAAGCTAGCCACTCTAGCTCTTTCCAGTTGCTGAGACAGAATACCTGGCACCCACACCTTGAAGAAGGAGAGGTTTATTGTGGCTCACCGTTTCCCATGGGGTCAGTCCACAACTGGCTGACTTCAAGGCAGAAATGGTATGGAGGAAGAGCCTGGGGGAAGGAGGCAGTCAGGAAGCAGAGAGAAAAGTAAGGAACTGGGGACAAGAGCCTACTCTTCCAGGTCCCTCCCTCAGTGACAGTGGTTTCCATCTAAACCATGCTACCAGTGAAGTGGGAAGTGTCTCTAAGCTGGATAAACAGCATTTGAAAGGCTTGAGGCTTCAAGGAGCTTGGACACGCCAAAGGAAAGACAGGGCAAGACGGAGCTCTGAGGCTGCTGAGTGCAGGGTGACGTGACGGTACCACGGGAGACGAGGCGCCCAGGCGATCTCGCGGTGCGAGGCCTTGTGGGCTGTGTGATAAGTGTGGTTTTAGTGCAGTGGGAATTGAAGTGTTTTAACAGAAGAGTGACATGTGCTTCTCTGAGGTTGGAACTTCCATCTGTTCATCTAAATCTGTTTGTCTCTCTTTGCTGGGCACACAGCCAGATTACATTTCCTGGCCTTCTTCATGGTTGGCTGTGAGCCATAGAATTGTATCCTACCCAGCGAAAGTCACAAATGGTAAATATCATGATTAGGGCTGGCATGTAAGACTCTCCCATGTTGGCTTCACTTTTCCCTTGCTGCCTGGCAGGACTGGGTACCCACCCATGTCTATGCCCAAGTGGCAGACTCACTGATGGGTGCTTGCTTCACCGGATGGAGCAGAACTGCCTTCTGGCCAACCTGAGCTGTGATATATGCAGAAAAAGAATAGTTTCTGTTTTGAGCTTCAACATGCTCGGTCATTTTGATACCACATCCATCAAGTTTTTTCAGATTTATGATCATTTGTAAAGACTGTTAGCTGCTGAGCACTGCAAGGACTGGAAGTGTGAACAAGGCCAGTGGCCGAAGGCAGGGTGTGCTGGGCTGTGTGCTGGGGAGATATCGGTTGAAATAGAGGTCAGATGATTTTGGATGAAAAATCACTAACTCCTATTGACATTTTCATCATGAGATGGGAAATCTTCTGTATCTCAGCCCTGTGTCATTTGCTTTCTAGATATTCCATAGCATAGCTCACTGAAGACCGTTAGGCATGTATTTTCTAGTTTGGAGAGACTTAATCAACTGGAGGGCAGGTGAACTATGTTTTTTCAGATTTCTTATTTTCTGTAGTGTCTAACATTGCTTTATATTAGGTAACTTTTTCATTAAACTCAATGAAGGAGAACAGATTCTCTGATTTTCTGCCCATCCAGATTGTGTGATCCAGTGTCTTTACTCTACTGAGTTACTGTAGAAAAGATCTCAGCCCGAGTACTTTGTAAAGGAAAGAAGTTTGCTTAGGTCATAATTCTGATGGTGATAAAGTCCAAAGAGCTTGGTGCCAGTGTCTGGTAAGAGGGCTCTGACTGTGTCTGATGGTACAGCCCAGGAAGGGAAACCCCTAAGGTAGAAGAAGCTGAACCTGTGGGTCTCCTCTCTGTAACAGCCTACTGTCGCAGGGACTCACTTGGTTCTAGGAGAGCTGGAGCACGTTCCTCCTGTGCTCAGGGCTGCTCAGCTGGGAGGAGGCCTGACCTTGTGAAGCCCCACTACCTCCAAATACTGTTAGAGTGCCCTCCATACTTCCCCAAGCTCCTCTGGAGAGCATGTCACCCAGGAAACCATGTCACCCAGCCCCCGCCTTGCCACTAATGTGGCCTTACGCTGATAAATGTACTTTGCTATCTAACAGAAATTTTAGTTGTATCAGATTTTGTTTTACCTGTGATTTAGAGAGGACTTGAATGTTTGCTTACAAAGTGTGGAGAAATAATTCCCATAGATGGGGCTGGGGATTTGGCTCAGCGGCATAAACGCCTGCCTTGCAAGCAGGCAGTCGTGAGTTCGATCCCCGGTACCAATAAAAACGAAAAAGACAAAAAAAAATAATAATTCCCATAGTTGCATGGACTCATCCTCATTGTCCACTGTCACACTGCTGCCCAGTGCTGAGTGTTTACACTCAGAGACCAGGAGGCATCTGGGGGAGTCACTGGGATCTGTGAAAAGTGTCAAGAAATGAAGTTTCTGTAATTCAGGTGAACAATGAGGTTTGTGACTGAGAAGGATGGGGGAAAATTGTAAATGACTACAGTATAAGACAACTGAATATATTTGGGACTAAGCAAGAACTGAAAGATGAATAATGAATCCCTCATGCTGATAAACTTCAACTTATACATGTAAAAATGAATCAGTAGACTTCATTAAGATAAACGCAATTAATGCCTCCGGCTGCCATCACATGGTGTTGCTGATGGGATGTTTTCACCTGGAACAAAGTGCCGTTTTATTAACTGGTGTATTTGCTGCCTGTGTGTCGAGTTTGGGTGGATTTTATGGAGATTATGAACTCATCCATGATGTACATAGGACAAAAAAACCGACTGGAAATTACTGGTAAAAAAGATGTAAGAATATTATCACAGTGTTAAAGAAACTAAAATGAAAATTAGTGTGAGAAAAATTGTGGAAATCACATTTGTGGAGGAGATAAATCCAGCTCTGAGGAGGGCAGAAGTGGCAGGCCCACCGCAGCTTTTAGAATTCTCAGTGTGAAGGGTGGTGACGGATGAAGAAATAAAGACACAAGTCAGGAAACAGAAAGCTGAGGTCAGGGGGAGGCCGTTCTCCGGATGGAAGAAGAGGAACTGCTCCCCACTGCAGCACATTCGCATACACACTGGGCAGGTTGATGTCAGGTGACACCCTCTGCTGCCAGCCTTTGCCTGGCTTGCCTTGCTGACCTAGCTTCTCTGGGCTGCAGCAGCCTGTTCACATGCCTCGCCCTGGACATTCTTTGTTTTGCGGACCAGCTTTGTTTCAGCCCTGCACGTGTGATCCATATGCAGCTTATGTTGCTCCTACAAAGAGTTGATGCCGCTTGTGATAACCACTGTGCATTGCACAGTGCAAGAGTAGGTGAGAGGTGATTAGCAGCTGAGGCAGTTCCACTGGTTGAAGTGCACATTTGGAAGATCAGCGTTACTGTTAATGCTGCTGACACACTGCACTTTATTTCTTTTACATGAAAGTTGTTCTGGAGGGTGAGGACCTGCTATGGTGATGCTTTCCTGCCTGGTGTTCCATGAGAATAAGTGCGTTTGTGAAGATAAAGGGAAGTCAAGGACCTCAGTAAACAGTTACCACTTACTTTACTATCTGACATTTATTTCCAAAATAAATACAGTTCACACACTAACACGTGATTGCCTTAGCTTTGCCTTCAAACAAATGTATTGATTTTTAAATTAATACCGTATGTCCACTTATGGTCTTTAAATCAGAAATATTAGCTGAAACTGTTGGACTGGGACACACAGTTGATATTTAAGGAAGAACACATTTTAACCAAAACCGTTAATTGTCTTCAGCTGTAATACTACGGGGATTTAGCTTAGTAGTGTAAGCACCTGCCAAAACCTACACATAGTCTTGATGTTTTCTGAAAAATGAAAGGATAAAGTAGCATTAGAAGATGACAACCGATAGACTGATAGAAGAAACTCAAAATGAGAATAAACTTTTTTTGCACCAGGAATTGAACTCAAGGACCTTGCACTTACTTGCCAGGAAAGCACTCCACTGCTGTGTTATATCCAATCCCAGCAAGGATAAGCTTTAACGTGTGAATAGATGTAACTTGGTGGTGGTGGGAGGATATATGTATATGTATAATCACAAAGTTACATTAAGATAGCAAAAATCTATGTTCTTCAAATTGACAAGTATTTGGAAGTGTGAGGTTTCTACAGACGCTTACAGATTATTTAAAGATTGATTGGGAACTCATTTCTCTCATACCGTATAGTTGTCGAGGGAGAAGTCAGTGATTCAAAAAAAATGCTGAAAGAGCACAAGCACCTCCTTGGCAAGCACAAGGAGTTCAGTCCCCAGACTCCCCCCTCCCCAAAAAGCTTCAAGAACATGAGCAACAGCTTAACACTGGGTTACCACAAGAACTTGGAGATGGTTTTTGAGTTTGTATGTTCCATAACATTTCTTTTGGAGATAAAACTTCAAGTAGAATATATAAGAAAATTTTTTTTGCAATCTGATGAAATCTACACATTGTGTGATTGTACTATGACCTTATGTAAATTTTGTATTCTACTGTATGTAAGCCTTTTCATTATTGTCATATTATGAGTTTCTGCATCATTTGAATTGCTGATACTTGATAATAACTTAAACACTTTTAATTGATACCAAATATGGAAAGAGAAAATAGTTTTCACAAATTATGTTGTCCTTTGACAACACAAAATATGTTGTACTTGTGAGCTGAAGATGGTGTTTATTCTTTACATTAACACATTTTATGCTCCTCCTAGGCTGGAATGATAAAAAGTGATAATGAAGAGTATTTCATTGAACCCTTGGAAAGAGGTAAGCAAATGGAAGAAGAAAGAGGGAGGATTCATGTTGTCTACAAGAGGTCAGCCGTAGGACAAGCACCCGTGGACATGTCCAGAGACATCCACCTCAAAGGTAGGCACTCGTGACGAGGTGTAACATTGATACAGGTTAAGATACCTGGGAACCAGCCCTACAGTGAGGTACAGAGCTGTGCTATCATGTTCTTGTCTGTAATGGGAAGGTATTTATAAATCGTGAAATAGGCCTTTTTCTTTTTAAAATGAATAGAAGAGTGTATGCATGTTATGGGTATTATTTTATTCTAGAGCATTACTATATCACTAATATATTACTTATAATTTCCTTTAAAAGCCTCACCTGAAAATGTTTTTCTCACTTATGTTAAAATTGAAAAATACACTCTACAGTGGTATCTACATTATGGATTATTTGTGTTATTTAAAATGTTCTTAAATGAGATATCTTGGTATGGCAAAGAGCTGCATTTTAAGAGTAGGGCAATAGATGCATTTAAAAATAAACTGTGTTATTTGACTTTAAGGTCTGTTTGTGAATTCTTTTTTTTTTATTCAAAGGACACCTAAGTTCAGCTTTTCTTAGAATTTTATAAACAGGTACCACTGAAGTCATGGAAATCATGCCACATGAAAAATTTCTGTGTCAATGAAACCTGGAAATAAATTGACATTAAGGGCATATTCTTATATATTTGATACAGAAGTTTCTATTCAGAAGAAAGGAAATTTGGAAATTTTATTTTTCACCAGTTTTCTAAAGTTTGTATTACTTTTGCTAGCTCAACCCTGTGGTTTAAGGGACTTCCCTAAGGAAGTATGAGATACACGAAGATGTTAATTTGGCCACAGTTTGTCTGCTAGCTTGCCCCTGGTGAGTTGCTGCCTACAGACTGGTTTTCCTGTTGCCCTCACTTCCCGTTTTCTGCACTAATGGAAGAGCATTCTTTAATATACACTTAGCACAATCTGAACAATTTTGAACAAAATTATTAACATGCTGTTTCCCACTTGAAAAGCATGTTAGTAGAAGCAGTTTATGAAATGCGTGCCTGATTTTGAGAGCCACTCTGGGTTTGAGGTGTGATGAGCATCACAAGGGTCCTGGGCAGAGCCGTGACTCACCTTCCACGGCTCTGAGACCCTGAGTGTATCTGCCTCTCCGTGCCTTAACGACTTCATCTATGAATAGAAAATCAGGTACACTGCACCAGAAGCAACGTATGCAAAATGTTATGTAGCCTTTAACAGAAGCAGGTACTTAATTAGAATGAGTGATTTATTATTTTATTAATGAGTAATAACAGTTATCTTGCACACAAATGTTTGTGCTAGAAGTTCTGTTAAAGCTGAATAGTTACATGTTGATTGCCTTTATATTGTGAATATGTCAGTCTTAATTCTTGGTTTCATTGTAATGTTTTAAAAATTTAATTCTACATGAGAAGACTGGTTATGCTGGGGGTAGGGTAGGTGGTAGGTTGCAGCGCTTTTTCTCTTCGTCTTGGTTGTTGAACATTATTAATGTTGGATTTAATTTTGGGGGGGCGGATGCCGGGTGTTGAACTCAGGGCCTTGTTCTTGCCAGCAGGTGCTGTGCCACTGCGCTGTGTCTCTGGCCTTGTAAAACTGTGGTTTGCCTGCCTGGTGCTCTGTGCAGAACCAGATGGCAGCTGTCTGGAGCTGCCCTTGTTTGGTGTCATTCCCCCGTTACCCATCTTGGCCCCCGCAGGGATCTCTTTCTACAAATAGTGGCCCTTGCACTGCCCATTAGTTTGGTATTTACAGGAAAGAGAAATTTTTCTTAGAGAAGAAAATTTCAAGAAACATTATTTTTAGTATCTGTTATAGTTTTAGAAAATAGAATAGGGGAAATGATTTAGTAGTCAAGGTATATAAAATTTAAAAATTGCACAGAATTAAGGAAATTTGGGACATTATTGTAGGAAATTATTCAAAATATCAGTTCCAGTGGCAACTACATGCTCAGTTTACAATAAGCATTAGTTTTAAGAATGCAGATGCTGAAGGCTGCATGTTATGGTTTTCAATCATCAGCAGAAATTGCCTTATAGTAAAAATAGGCCACAGCCTAACTAATACATTTTGAAAAGGTTTTCAGCAGTCAGAGACCAAACTAAATGAAGTTTCTTTGTAAACTATCAGTTACCTTAAAACTGGAACCAAAATGAAATCACTTGGTTCTTTCAGAATATTGTAAGAAATGCCTTAATAAAGACTTAATGATCTTTATTTTTCTTATTTATGAAGTTCTAATTGAATTGTGTGGCTACTAATATCAACTTATCTTTTTTGGAGAATCTGAAATTGTAACCATTTAAGTTAAAAGTTCTTTCTTCCCTCTAGTGTAAAAAGAGATTCAGGTTAACAACTTTAGGTGCCAAACTATAACTTTTAATTTCTTCTTTCAGGCCTGAGAGTTCTGCTATTCCATAGACTAAGTATATTCCAAGTATAAATCAGAAATATATTTTTTAATGTATTGTGTTATTAGAACATGTAAAACTCAACAGCCTAAAGGTACCTTCTTAAGATTAGGCATGTATATCAATTTATGAATGAAAGCTAAAGCATCAAGTAAACTAGTGTTTTATTTGGTATGCTTGTTTTAGGAAACATATGAGGTCTTCCTTTAACGAATTAGGTTAAAAGGAATAAAATATATAAAACTGAGACTTGCCTAGAAAGAAATATATTAAAGAGTTTAATCTATCTTTATAAGAGTTTTCTGACTGCAGCTTGTCGGGAGGAATACTGATCACTGAGGACCACTCCTGACCAAACAGGGTGTCCTCAGTGCAGCCCCTGTGAATGCGGTCACAGTCACTGTTGGAGCCTGGGTGCATTTTTTGCTGTGGTAGTTTGAGTGCTTGGAATGCTGTAGATTTGCAGGTCTGTAGGACGCTGCACTAGATGAGTAGTACTAAGGTGAAGCATGGGAGCTGAACAGAATAGAGCCTGAGAGCGGATTACAGGGCTTTATGATGCAGCAGATGTTGGGGACAGGAAAAGAGCAGAAAGAAAGAGAAATGAGGCAAAGGGAGAAATCAAGGTGACTCAGTTCTAACTTAGAAGAATAGGCAGTTCTCTTCCAGAATTAGATTTTATGAAACAAGCAACAGAAATAAGCTTATTGGAAGATAATACACAGGTGTGATCTTGGCTATAACAGAACCTGTGTAGTGTTTCACAGTCACGTCCTGGGGATGGTGTGTGAGTGTCTTATGCAGGCAAGGCTGAAGCCAGCGTGGCAGGTGCGGGGAGTGTGCTGTGGGTGACTGGAGTCTCTGTTTTGCCTTCTGGCTGCTCTTTTCCATGCATATCACTGAGAATCTGGAGGTGTACACTGTACAGAATTGAGAGTCCGTAAGGATATCTTCTACCTACCACTTCAGGTAACAGCGTTATGTGCTTACAATAAAATTTAGAAACAAGATAAAGACTTGCTTCTCCTACCCCCAAGAACACTAAGCTCCCAGATAAAAGCACATTTTTCTAGTCCTGTCCTTTAAGAATTTTCACCTGAGTTTCTAGAAAAGTCATAGCTCTTGAATTTGTGAGGTACATGGTGTGATTTGATAGCAAGAGAAAAGCCCTCAACCAATTCAGTGCACAGCATAGATTCTCTGTCCCTTGTCCTTAACAGGGAAGTAACTAGTACTGTCCCAGATGCAAGGCTGCACAAGACGACTCTGGTTTCTTGTGGTGGTGGGAGTCATGGTGGGTAGAGCTGCCAGGGCCAGGGCCAGGGCTGGAAGGCAACAGCATCTCGCCATGCTGCTAATGGAGGAACTGGGCTGCTTCATTGTAGCCAGAGGTCTTGATTTTTTTTTCTCTGATTTCTGCCCGAATGGTAAGAAATCAGATCTATTTTAGACAGCTTAGTTGAGACAAACTTATTTTCTATTTGATGTGGTATTTAATTGGTAGCTTGTAAAGTGCATTTCCATTAGTCATCATTTGTCTAAACAGATAAAAAACAAGATATGCCTCTGACCACTCTCACAGTGTCCACACTGTTTGCTCTGGGGACTCTGCTTTGGGGCCGTGGGACTGTGCTTGCTTCCAGCATTGAGCTTTTCACATTTTTTGTTGACCTGCTAGGCCCTTGGGCTTCTTCTGCCTTCAAACTGCAAACTGTTCATTCACCAGAAGCGTGATATTGAAGTAGTTTTTGTAATTACTTCCTACCAGTGGGAAACGAGGAACAGTAAGGCTTTTTCTCCTGGCTTCCTTTCAGGATTTTCATTTTCCTGCAGGAACCCAAATGCTTGTGTGGCTGGTGTGGTTGTCATGGTGCTGTGACGGGATGTCTGTGTCCCAGGTGGGAGACATGGGGAAGTCAGAAATTACTTAGGAGTTGCTCCTGGTTGCTGAGGAATGAAGGGTATGAAACAAGAACCAGAAACATGGGGGCCAGGGAAATATCTCAGAGGCACAAGCACCTGCCTGGCAAGTGCAAGGTCCTAAGTTCAATTCCTGGTACCGAAAAAAGAAAAAAAAATGAAAAAAACAAAAACAAAAAACCCCAAAAGAATCAGAAAAATGGGGAGACTATTTTACTTTAGCTATGGTAAGAAGTTTCTAGGTACAGAGTTTTTCTGCGAATCCACAGACATTTAGGGGCTCACTGTTTTGGAAAGTTCTACTGACCTGTAAGACCTGATCAAAGAAGATCATTGGTGGGCTTTTTAATGCCCCCAGCCAAAAAATATAAACTAATTTTGGCCATTATTTCTTAGTATATGAAGCATGGATTGTAACATTACTAAATATTAATGTATTAGTAGTCTTAGGAATGTTTCACAGCTGTATCATTCTGCTTATAATCTCCTATGAAGATCAGCGAGGCTGCTTCTATTGGATTCATAGGGAGATACTAATCATATAAATGGAATTTTTTTCTGATTTAGTAAAAATTAAAGTCTGCATTTTTATAACAATTTTTGACAAAAATGAAAGCAGTATAAAGATTTTATTTATGACAAAATAATTAGAAATAGGAAACAGTGTGAGTTGAAGGGTGGCTAATGTAAAATAGAGTTAATACCTTTTTATTTTCTCAGTAAAACACAG